TTGTTGTATAATAAATAATGTGGGTGATTTTGATAAGAATAAAAGAAGCTGAAAGGTGAAAAGAAGAGGTGGGCCTGGGGCGTGAGGTTGCGTGCTGCCAGGGTTGGGTCAGTATTCCATGGCTATTTCTATTCCTATGCCTATCATATATCAAGCCCACGCGCATAGACGGCCGTCTTTTACCTTTAGGGCATGGCTATTTTTGCATCCACGATCCACCTCCACAAAAATGCATTAAATCAAGTCTCTGGCATGGTCCATTGTCCATGGTCCATGGATCAAAAGGAATCAGCCGATCGCCTTTGTCGATACTCCACAGTGACTGGTGCTTGCTTCCTCATTTATGAGCAGCAGTACTTTAACAAGTACTTTAAGAGATTTTTTTTTTTTTATATTGATTGTATAACGAGTAGTAATTATTTTTTATTTAAAAAATTATGATAAATTTTAATAATTAAAAATAAAAAATAATTAATTAGTATTTTATATAAATATACTATATAAAATTTGTGTAAATCTCTCCTCAAAGAAATCCTTATTTCTAAGCCCAAAGTTATAATTTGGGAATTTATCTCTTTTGCGTTTAGTCACTTTTGTGCTTTGTTCCCCAATTCTTGTAAAGGCGCTACTTTTTGTTATTTATGGGAAGAATCAAAGCAGACCAACTTTTATTTCCTATCAAATTTAGTGGTAGCCTGATGCCTTTTGAAATTGACCCTACATACCATGTCATTGTCCATTTATGACATTAATATATGACACCAGATACATGTAGGTCAGGCAAAGCTACTCGTAAGTAGCTAACTAATGAGTTTGATCTTAAACTAGAAAAGCTTGATCTTAATTTTGATTCTAATAAGCTTAGCAAAATAATAGAGTAGATTACATGTGAATGAATGCATTTACATATTTAGTGTTATACTATATTTTATGAAATATTGTGTAACAAATCATTTACTTGAAGCATTACCTATAAATTTATTAGGAAAAAAAATGTGTAAATAATGATATAAATTTTATTATTTTTTTTTTTTTTAAGGTTTTGACTTTTTTTTTTTTTTATAAATCAGATAATAAACTTTTATTTTAAACTATTTAAAAATTCTAATTTTGTCATTTTTTATTGGGTGGTGCTATTAGGACAATATTTTTATCTTATTTTTTGGATATAATCTTCACGTGTCATTAAATGAGTAGATATATTTAATATCATGGGTCTCACATGAATTAAAAGAACTAATCATTTTAATGACACGTCAGATTGTAAAAAAATGTGAGATAAAAATATTGTCCTAATAGCATTTTCCTTTTTTATTCAAAAAAACAAACTTTATCTAATTTAAATTAAAATTTGTTGTTTGTCACGTCATTATCACCATTTAATAAATCCTTAAATAAAAAATAAAAAAGTAATATCCTTATTTTAAAAAATAAAATAAAATATACTATCTAATTTAAAATATTTTAGAAATTTATATCCTTACATAAAAAAATAACAAAGTTTGAATTCTTATCTTATTACCAGTCTTGAGGATTGGTTCCAATGGAGAGTGTCATTTTATTGATGATATGCATTTCTTAGGTCTTGGGATTAAAATAGAAAGAAATTTATTTTTTTAAATGTATCAAATTAATATAAAAATGTCTTTAAAATTGTTCAAAGAAACGATCATAATATATATATATATATATATATATATATGTATACAGAAAAACTTCTTGAAAGACACCACAACCACCCGAAGCAATAAATAAATAAACCATCACTTTTGAGCTCAACTCTCGCAACTTGCTCAGACAAGGTAACATCCCTGGACTTCCCGATGCTGAAGAAATTATGCAAAGATTATAAGATATGTAAACATTATTTTCATGGCTCAGACCCACAGAACTTTGTAGAAGCACTAAACAAGAAGAATCCGAGAATTAAACCAACACAGTATAATTACCTGCTTTTTCATTTCTTATATTCCCTCTTCTCAGCAGAAAAGATGGGAGTTTTTAAACACAAATCTGTACATAGGACAGCTTGATAGAAGATAGGGAACAAAAACCAAACCTAGTTTCTACCATAACTTGTTAATCCTTTCACATTTCGGATATATATACAAAATGTACAAGAGAAGATGGCTGCTGCACAGACCTGCAACAACAATCGAACCATAATTACAGTCTTGCAAACGCCCTTTTATTCACAATCTGCAATACACTTCAATATAATCAGAGATAGAATTGCTACTTGTTATGACTTTGAACCGAGATTTTCACGACATTATTAATGCACATCATGAATCTGGCTCCTTTCACCGATCAACCTGTGAGAGCATGCAAAGGCACATAGATTATTAGATAGGTAGAACTATAAAAGGTTGATGACATTATTCAAGTAACCCTAGTAGCTATAACTTCCGGTTTCTACCTTCTTCAGAAAAGGCAAATATTCCACCAAGCATTTCATCAGTTTCTCCATCCTCCTCTAGTTTTTCCCTCTCAGAGGGGCTACAGCTGCTCTCAACATCATCGTTTACAACTTCAGCCAACTTGCTGCATTCATTCTCACACACTACTTCATAGTGCTCCTCCCGCAAAAGCCCAAAATCAACCAAATTCTGTGCTGCTGAAGCCTCCACTGTAGTGTTCCTATCTGAATCAAAATGGTTAGTGCTCAACATTTGAAGATCATCAACATCAGAGGACAGTGCTCCTTCAGCCATGCCTCCTAGAGGAGGTGACTTGCTCTCCAGAGATTGCAAACCATTTCTAATGGATTCCCCAGCATTAGAATTTATATTCTCAGAAAGTTGAAACTGAGAGGATTTAACAATTAAGGATTCTTGATTCATAAAGGAGGGCTCAACAAAGTTGCTCCCATTTTTTACCAAGGAAATTTCATTCAGAATCTGACAAATTGGTTGATAAGACTTCTCATAATTCATCTGATCCCAATCAAGAAAATTATCCATTCTCCTTGATGAACCTGATTAGAATTTTGCATGAAATGACACAATAAGAAATCCATTTATAATAACACCCCATTCCACTTTTAAGTAATGAAAATATAGGTTTACCTCCTTCAGAACTTTCAGTGGAGCTAAGCGAAGCTGGTTTTGAGTGACAAGTAATAGTCTCCTGTGTGGCCTTGTATTCACCTTGATGAGACTCCAGAGAATGAGGATGTTTTACCACAGAGAAACATCTGTATCACATGATCAAACAGAAAACACAAACATTAAGAAAGGGTGTCCAAAGAGCTTTTCTCAAAAAAATTTGAAAGACCAAGATTCACAAAGCCATATTCTCATAACATATTTTCCTTTGGAGAATAAATTAATTAGTGGTGAGTCAAGGAACCAATAAGCCATAACTCCTTCAGGAAGTCCCACTCTTTGTTAATGAACATGAAAAGAAAAGTATCCTTGTTTAGATTTGTGGTGAAGAGTCAACAAGCAAGCATGGCATTAAATTCTTTTGCCTTATTGTTATACTAGAAACTCATATAAATGTTGACCCAATTTCCTCTGTTTTTCAGATGAAGCATCATGCAAACTAAACATTAATAGAAACCGTTGAAAAGTATTGCCAACAACCATAATCTATAACCTTTGAAATAAACAATAAATGTATAAATAAAAAGCCATAAGCTTAAACACTCTGCTAGGTCCGAATGAATATCCAACGAAAAAGTTCAAAAAAGGAGGCAAAATATCAACTGGAGGGGATGGATAAAATGATTACCTGTCATTCCAACTAGATTTGATACTGTGGAAATGGTCAAAAACAGGCAATAATTCCTTGTGTCTGATTTCAACTTCATGGACAGGGATCTTTTCAATTTCAAACTCTCCTTTAGCTAGAATATCAACTCTTGGAGAGTTCATCATGTAGAAAGAAATCTGTAAGAATGAGAACATTAATCCTAACAAAAAAGCAGAGATTCTGATCACTGCAACTTGTAACAGAACAAGTACCTTTGACTTCAGCCATATTGGTAACCTCCCAGAGTTCACTTGCACCTCTGCATTAGACAGATACCAGTGAGATCTCTCATGGGACTTCACAGAAAACATTTTTGAAGTCCTCTGTCCACCCACACCATGATTAATTTCCAGAAAATCCATTCCCAAAGTATCCTCACAACCGGATGTATTTTGAATTACTCCGGCAGCATCTTGTCTCCCAGACTTTGTCTGAGAAATACATTCCTCTCTTTCTGGCCAGTCAGACCTTCTACACACATCCCACCATTGGACAGGTTCAACTTTAACCCTTAAGTCATCTTCTTGAACATGTACAAATGAAGCAGACCGAGTTCTTGAACCATTATCTCCTGGCTCTACACCAATAGATGGAAGGAGTTCATGTTGAACAACGTGACCTGATGGAGTAAAAACAAGCAGATGCTCCAAGGAGTTTGTTCTTGAGCTAGCGTGCTCAAGACTCTGTGAAATAGAATTATGAAAAACAGAAGCAACAGCACCAGAAGGGACAAAAACCTTTCCCGTTGCAGAACCAGCAGTGCTGCTTACTGTGTTGAGCCATCCAAAACTACTGTACTTGATCCTGCTGACCACAGAAAGGGTAACAGGTGGTGGAGGTGCAAAAGATTGCTGATTAATGACACAAGATGAAGTAGACCACCATGGTAGAGTTAAAACTGGAAATAGAGAAGGCTCTTCTCCATCAGAATTATTAAATGTTTGAAACCCAGCATCACCGCCAAATGGGGATAGAATAAAAATATGGCAAGTCCCCTTGGAGGAAACAATGGCAACCCACTGACTATAATTACTAAAGCAAATGTCTTGGATCATCTGCCAGGCAGGGTAATACAAACAAACATTAATTACAAGAATTCATAATCTGCAAGAGGGACAAGAGAATAAGAAACATCTTGGTCATAAAGTAGTATACTAACAGCTGAAGTTATTCCTCGATGTAGCTTGTAAAGATGCACATGAGATGAAGTCCAGTCATAGTTCTGAACACCAGATCCAGTGCGCTTGCAAGATGGCATAATCCGGAAGATATTGATGTTATTGCCATAAATGGAAGCAGTAACAAGAAGGGTTCCGCTAGGGTCAAAACACAATGCAGATATTGCACTTGAATGAGCTTTAAATTGCGATATAACAGCCCGGGAAACAAAATCCTTTATGACAACCTAATAATCAACCATAAATAAAAAGAATTAGTAATTAGGTTTCAAAAATTTGGTAGTTCAAAACTATCTTGCTTATTAGTGTAACCACTAACCACAAAACAAAATAGTTCCCAATGTTATACATTTCATTTCCCTTTTTTCCTTTTCAATTTTCCATAAGGTTTGCCATTGCCAATTTTCCTTTGCACCTTAGATGCTCAAACTAAAGAATAATGGTCAGAATTTATTGAGTCTGGATGAGATAATTAACAACATCCAGATTGCAATGAGCATAAAACTAACCATTCCTGCATTGTCCATATCCGTTCCTGCTGGCCTACCAACTTTCCAAACTGAATTTGGTGATACTGGTGAATTAGACCCATCAGGAAGCAGCTCTTGACAGCACTTGGATAAAGTCTTATATCCCATGTCCCCCAGGTTGAGCAATCCAGCTGCCAACTGCTTACTAGATTCCATGGCATACCGAGCAACCAAACTACTGCCACCTGGTGATGTTGATGGACTAACACCAGGTGAAAGGGTGAGGTTTTGTGGGCTTAAGCGACCTGTGTTAGACACAAAAGGACTATTGGAAGCATAAGCTAGCCACCTTGGACCTACAGCCATTGGACCATAGCCGACATTAACACCCACCCCACCGTGTCCTGCTAACTGGGGAACAGGATAGGTGAGAACACTGAACTTATTCTCAAGTGTAAGAGCATCAAAGCAGTATATCTGCCAAAGGACAAGAAGCGTTTGTCAGATTCTAGAAACCATAAAAAAACATAATCAGAACTCAGAAGGGGAGTGCACAATGTTCATAATATCTCTGAGTGACTTCATTATGATGTTATCACAATGATGGATCAACCTACTATGCTTTTACTTGTATGGCCCCAGTTTAAAAAGATAAAAGATTTAAGGGCAAGACGCAAAGACCATCACAAATCATCTAGAACCATAATAAGAACTTATAATTGAAGGTAGAAAATGACCATGCCATTGATAACTACTTGCCTAATTAAAACAATAACACTCACAAATCCTCTATTTTATACTGTCAAACCTCCACCATGCACAACGTTTTCCTTCTTTAAAAATAAGAATACCAACTAGTCTACCACTTACTTGTGTAGAAAGACCCACTGCTATAATGCGCGAACTGCATCTAACCATGCACACAGATGATCGGAACCTCAGAACATGCACATAGCAATGTGACCTTAAGGAATAAAACCTGACTGCTGTAGGAGAATTGATAGAGTTTCCTGAATGTGACTCTGTACGCCCATCTCGGGCTAATGCACCAAGATTACCAGGATTTGGACTAAAGACTGGAGTATTGGTATCATCACCAGATACAACCAAGAGCATAGGGAACGATGTTTTATATCCCTCCTGACCATTAGAATCCTGAGGAAATGGCTGAAACTGTAAGAATGAAACTGGGCCATCACGCTTTGAAACCAATTCAGAAAAATTAGAGGCATCATCCACATCAAGGACTTGAAATCCATTCTGATAGCCAAGCAAAAGAACATTTTTGAAGACGGATGGACCAAGCTCCAAGCGGTCAAAGCCAGCCCATGTTACCTGTTAATGAACAAAACTGAATCAGAAATAAAATTCAGGTAAACATGCTTTTTCAAAATAAGAACAAAAAAAATGACAGTTGAATGTTATTTATAAATTTAAATCTAAAATCAAGCATGGAAATGTTTTTTAGTAAGTACCAACCATTACATGTAAAAAGCTATAGGCTTGTTCAAAAATTGCTGAAAAGAATACTCATGCTCCTCTAAACCAGCACAAATGTTTTAATAACAATGACACTGAGACGATAAAAAAATTATGTTTTTTTAACACGAAGAAGGTGTCTGGATATCTCTAGTCTTTAATCCATGATCTTGCAAACTAAAGCAGCATAAGAAACAAGTAGAGAAAAGGCAGCTTAGATACAGTCACAGTTGATTCGTAGTAGCATCGATGAAATCTTTCATGTACTTCTCAGAAGGAGTAGATTGATATATCATGCGATACACCGATGTTCTTTGTCAATATAAGTTGAGTACCAGCTGAAATCGGCAATTCAAACCAAGTCCAGAATGATGTGTGTATAATCTAAAGCACCATAACCAGATAAAGTATTCAGCTCTCGTTTACCACTTGGTGATATTCAAGACAAGGAGCAAGGATTAGTTGTTATGAAACTCTCTTTTATAATCCATTTGTGAGTGATGTAGAGGCAGCCTCAGACATTCCAAAAGAAAATCAATCCCAAACGCCTAATTCAAACTAAATTTTACTTAATTGAAACATCGGAAAACTCATATCACCGGTGCCAGATTAAACGATAAAACTTCAAACATCTGAGCAGGGCAAAGAGCAGCACAAATTATAACGCAACAGATGAACTCAAAAACATAGAAAAAGATCTCAGAGGGACGTAAAAGAAAACCGGCGAGCAGATGGAAACAAATATAAGAGCAAAATCAAGGTGAGAAACCTGGTCTTTGTGATCTTCAGAAGTGGAGATGGAAGCAGCGACAGACGCGCCGGCAGAACGAACAGTGGAAGCGACGTTGCTAGCATTCGCGGACACAGTCTTGAGGCAAGACGAAATTATCCTCAACGAATTCGGCAACAAGCCATTGTTCCTTCCCTTTCCCTTCTTCATTGTCCTCCTCCTCCACCACTACACCAGTCCTCCTCCTCCTCTCCTCCTCCCCTCCTCCTCCTCCACCATCACCACCACCAACAACCACCGCGACCTCCACAGAGCAGCATCTCCGATCGCCGAGGATCGGAAATATCATCCGATTCACGGATCCCTATGAAACTGACAACCGCAGAAAAATCCAGAAGGGTGAGGTGATTGGCTTAAGTTTGACTTGATGCGGAGTTGAAGGCCACCGTCTCTGTCTCCCTATGTTTCTTCATTTGAATCCTCACCATCTTCCACTTTCGCTTTCTTTCGCTTTCTCTCCTAACTTTCTCTTTGTTCTGTGTTTGCATCAAACCACTCCGCCAGTAGTTTAAAAACAAAATAAAAAAAAGGGATTTTTCTCCAATTTTCTTTCTTATCTTTTTTTTTTTTTTGGTGGAAAATAAAAATGCGGTGTTTAATTCCTCTGGCGGTGGCTCAGCGCAGTGATTTTGGACTACTAATTTCTTTTCTTTTCTTTTCTTCTCTTTTTTTCTAATTTTGTGTTCGGATAACTATTAGTATGAGTATATTTTTATTTTAAAAACCTTAATAGGTGGCTCAATATTAAAAGGTCAAAGTTTTAAATTAAAAATTTTAAATTTAAATTTGAGCTCAAATGAAAAAAGATTTGAAATAGATAAA